TTCGATTCCGTTTTCGGGCTATTTCGATTAAAAGGTGAAAAAAGGTGTAAAATTAAGCTATTTACAACCCATCCAGCGTTTTCATATTTTAAAATATTACTTCGTAACTTTCATAAACTCGTAGCAATAATCTATACGGAGAGAATGTATGTGAAAATTAATTTGTAATATGCGCAGTTGCCGAGAAATGGGCAATTTTGCATGAGTCACTTTTTACGCTAGTTTGCCTGTAAAAGAGTCAATTATTATTCGATTTTCATAAAAGTGACACCATTTGATGTGTAATGTCAATTTTAACTAGGTCAAACCAATTTAACATTTTCAATATCACCGGAAATGACGTAATTTGGGCAAAAATTGTATTTATAGCCTTCGAAACCAGTAATTTATTCAAATGAGTCATATTTGTTATTTGTTTAAAATTTTGATATTTGATTCAAATGAACTAATACAATGAACCCTTACGATCATATAGATATCACAAAATGGTTTCTAACTTGTTCAGTTGCGGAGAAATAGGCAATTTTCAACAGGTCACTTTTTAAGGTTTTTTGTCAATAAAAGTGTCAATTATTATTCGATTTTCATGAAATTTTCATTGTGTGATACCTAATGCCATTTACGATTTCATACAAGTAATTTAAGATTTTCATTATCACCGGAAGTAACGTCATTTTGGCAAAACCTGTATTTTTAGCCTTCAAAACAGATATTTTATTCAAATGAATCAGATTTGTAATGTTTTTAAAATTATGATATTTGATTCCAATCAACAAATAGAATGAACTCATTCGATCATACAGATACCTCAAAATGGTTTCTAACTTGTACGGTTGCAGAGAAATAGGCGATTTTCTACAAGTCATTTTTCAAGGTTTTTGGTCTATAAAGGTGGCAACTATTATAGGATTTACATAAAATTTTCACCATGTGATGATGCTATTTCTGATTTCATAAACCAATTTAACATTTTCATTATCACCGGAAGTAATGTAATTTTGGTACCGGAAGTGACATAAGTTCAAGGGTAACGTGGCACCGGTGAAACCCGTCATTACTGCTTCGCAGTTCTAGTTCTTATTATTATTATTATTATTCTTTTGTTTTGAGTAGATCTCAGCAACTGATTGTCGGATCGTTACGATTTCTTCGGTTTTATCGGAAAAGTGGGTGTGACTTAGAGGATAAAGCTATTTTGAACGTTCTGCGACAATGCGAAATGTCCGAAATCACCGAAGCTATCGTTTTTAGAAATATTGCAGTAATTTTAACAATAATCATTGGATTTTAACTTTGGATGCATTTTGGCATAGCCGGAGACGGGGCACATAGCTACGCTACTTTTTATTTTTGATTTTCGGCAAATCTTCGCAGATATTAGGCGCTAAATTTAGAAAATTTAAATTTTTACAAAAAACTTTTTTATTTATGAATATTTTTTAATCGTGTTTTACACAAATATAACGAGTCCTCTGACTTGGGCAAAAATGTGAAAATTTTTTGTCTCGGTAATTTTCCTTGGCCCCCATTGGCTAATTCAGTTTTTCAGTCCTAGATTAATTATTTATTGTTCGATTTGTATAAAACAAAGTTCATATGCCCCGTTGTCTCAATTGTCATTTTTTTTGTTACCAATAGTGTTATCTGTCGGCACCGGAAGTGGCGTAAATTGACAAAAAACTACAATTTTGACAGTTAGGTACCATTTTTCGAAAGCAAATATTATTTTTTTCAAATCTGGTATAACTGAAATTGTGCGCCTTTTAAAGGCGCACAAAATGTTGGGACCATGTTTTTTAATTTCGATTCCGTTTTCGGGCTATTTCGATTAAAAGGTGAAAAAAGGTGTAAAATTAAGCTATTTACAACCCATCCAGCGTTTTCATATTTTAAAATATTACTTCGTAACTTTCATAAACTCGTAGCAATAATCTATACGGAGAGAATGTATGTGAAAATTAATTTGTAATATGCGCAGTTGCCGAGAAATGGGCAATTTTGCATGAGTCACTTTTTACGCTAGTTTGCCTGTAAAAGAGTCAATTATTATTCGATTTTCATAAAAGTGACACCATTTGATGTGTAATGTCAATTTTAACTAGGTCAAACCAATTTAACATTTTCAATATCACCGGAAATGACGTAATTTGGGCAAAAATTGTATTTATAGCCTTCGAAACCAGTAATTTATTCAAATGAGTCATATTTGTTATTTGTTTAAAATTTTGATATTTGATTCAAATCAACTAATACAATGAACCCTTACGATCATATAGATATCACAAAATGGTTTCTAACTTGTTCAGTTGCGGAGAAATAGGCAATTTTCAACAGGTCACTTTTTAAGGTTTTTTTGTCAATAAAAGTGTCAATTATTATTCGATTTTCATGAAATTTTCACTGTGTGATACATAATGCCATTTACGATTTCATACAAGTAATTTAAGATTTTCATTATCACCGGAAGTAACGTCATTTTGGCAAAAACTGTATTTTTAGCCTTCAAAACAGATATTTTATTCAAATGAATCAGATTTGTAATGTTTTTAAAATTATGATATTTGATTCCAATCAACAAATAGAATGAACTCATTCGATCATACAGATACCTCAAAATGGTTTCTAACTTGTACGGTTGCAGAGAAATAGGCGATTTTCTACAAGTCATTTTTCAAGGTTTTTGGTCTATAAAGGTGGCAATTATTATAGGATTTACATAAAATTTTCAACATGTGATGATGCTATTTCTGATTTCATAAACCAATTTAACATTTTCATTATCACCGGAAGTAATGTAATTTTGACAGGATCACTGACATGTAGCAAATGAATTGGTTGCTGGATTTGGTTGTTTCTGTGTCCATTTTATTTCATGTGTGCAATGCTTATGTGGAAACCTGTTTAACGGTTTCATTGGTACCGGAAGTGACATAAGTTCAAGGGTAACGTGGCACCGGTGAAACCCGTCATTACTGCTTCGCAGTTCTAGTTCTTATTATTATTATTCTTCTTTTGTTTTGAGTAGATCTCAGCAACTGATTGTCGGATCGTTACGATTTCTTCGGTTTTATCGGAAAAGTGGGTGTGACTTAGAGGATAAAGCTATTTTGAACGTTCTGCGACAATGCGAAATGTCCGAAATCACCGAAGCTATCGTTTTTAGAAATATTGCAGTAATTTTAACAATAATCATTGGATTTTAACTTTCGATGCATTTTGGCATAGCCGGAGACGGGGCACATAGCTACGCTACTTTTGATTTTTGATTTTCGGCAAATCTTCGCAGATATTAGGCGCTAAATTTAGAAAATTTAAATTTTTACAAAAAACTTTTTTATTTATGAATATTTTTTAATCGTGTTTTACACAAATATAACGAGTCCTCTGACTTGGGCAAAAATGTGAAAATTTTTTGTCTCGGTAATTTTCCTTGGCCCCCATTGGCTAATTCAGTTTTTCAGTCCTAGATTAATTATTTATTGTTCGATTTGTATAAAACAAAGTTCATATGCCCCGTTGTCTCAATTGTCATTTTTTTTGTTACCAATAGTGTTATCTGTCGGCACCGGAAGTGGCGTAAATTGACAAAAAACTACAATTTTGACAGTTAGGTACCATTTTTCGAAAGCAAATATTATTTTTTTCAAATCTGGTATAACTGAAATTGTGCGCCTTTTAAAGGCGCACAAAATGTTGGGACCATGTTTTTTAATTTCGATTCCGTTTTCGGGCTATTTCGATTAAAAGGTGAAAAAAGGTGTAAAATTAAGCTATTTACAACCCATCCAGCGTTTTCATATTTTAAAATATTACTTCGTAACTTTCATAAACTCGTAGCAATAATCTATACGGAGAGAATGTATGTGAAAATTAATTTGTAATATGCGCAGTTGCCGAGAAATGGGCAATTTTGCATGAGTCACTTTTTACGCTAGTTTGCCTGTAAAAGAGTCAATTATTATTCGATTTTCATAAAAGTGACACCATTTGATGTGTAATGTCAATTTTAACTAGGTCAAACCAATTTAACATTTTCAATATCACCGGAAATGACGTAATTTGGGCAAAAATTGTATTTATAGCCTTCGAAACCAGTAATTTATTCAAATGAGTCATATTTGTTATTTGTTTAAAATTTTGATATTTGATTCAAATCAACTAATACAATGAACCCTTACGATCATATAGATATCACAAAATTGTTTCTAACTTGTTCAGTTGCGGAGAAATAGGCAATTTTCAACAGGTCACTTTTTAAGGTTTTTTTGTCAATAAAAGTGTCAATTATTATTCGATTTTCATGAAATTTTCACTGTGTGATACATAATGCCATTTACGATTTCATACAAGTAATTTAAGATTTTCATTATCACCGGAAGTAACGTCATTTTGGCAAAAACTGTATTTTTAGCCTTCAAAACAGATATTTTATTCAAATGAATCAGATTTGTAATGTTTTTAAAATTATGATATTTGATTCCAATCAACAAATAGAATGAACTCATTCGATCATACAGATACCTCAAAATGGTTTCTAACTTGTACGGTTGCAGAGAAATAGGCGATTTTCTACAAGTCATTTTTCAAGGTTTTTGGTCTATAAAGGTGGCAATTATTATAGGATTTACATAAAATTTTCAACATGTGATGATGCTATTTCTGATTTCATAAACCAATTTAACATTTTCATTATCACCGGAAGTAATGTAATTTTGACAGGATCACTGACATGTAGCAAATGAATTGGTTGCTGGATTTGGTTGTTTCTGTGTCCATTTTATTTCATGTGTGCAATGCTTATGTGGAAACCTGTTTAACGGTTTCATTGGTACCGGAAGTGACATAAGTTCAAGGGTAACGTGGCACCGGTGAAACCCGTCATTACTGCTTCGCAGTTCTAGTTAATATTACTATTATTTAAAAAAATCCTTAATATTTCCATCCCACTGGCACTTGAACTTGGTAAAACCCCACATACATATCTTGAGATTTAATTTCAGGATCTGGTTTTGACCATGGACATCTGTCTCGAGCTGCATGTTGCCGTGTGTATGACATCTTGGGTGAAAAGCTTCCCACATTTTATCGCATTAATCATCCCAGATTATACAGTGTTACAGCGCCATTAGATCATATTTATAGAAATGGTAAACATATGACATCACTCAGTATTAACTGGTCAGCGGCAGATGAGAAATTAGAAGTTACAGATGGTATAACTGGAAAAACTACACCATTGTAAGATTGAATTTTTTTTATTTATCAATGTATTTGTAGCTTGCAAAGACAGAGTGTGGCTTTACTGTTAAACTGGTATAAAACGTGATAAAAGCCACAAAACAAATTTATCCCCCCGCCCCCCACAAAGAAAAAAAATGATTGCTGAAGCAGCATAGCAGTTTAATTAGTGACATAAATGTATATTTCTTTAACTAAACGTTAGATCCTGAAGAAATAAAAATTGAATCCAACAGTGACTCTATGGTCTAGACAAAAGGTGGTGAAATCACATTATGCTACAGGAAGTTGACGTCTTCAAAATCTTAATGTTTGATGAAATTCAATTCAATGATCTCTGTGTTTTTGACTTTTCAGATCACCTTTTAAATCTGGAAGAATGATGGCAAGCCGACTGTGTAAAGCTTCATTTCTTTTCCGATACAAAGACATGGCTAAATCATCATCTAAAGCTTATTTAAAGGAAGTTCCAACATATGAGACAGCCAAACGTCATTCAGTTTATTATCAACAAGCTAAGCATGCCTTGCACCAACATTCTATTGAAGCGGGCATTGGTGTATGGGTTAAAAAACCCATAGAGGTTGAAAGTTTTGACAAGTGAATAAAAAATTTTATGAAGACTTACTCAACCCTTGTGCCAAAGGGTTAAGCAAAAAGAACGTTTGTGATAAATCAGTGTTTAAAACACTTGCACATTTTTGTCAAACAAGTTTTGTGAAAATTTTCAGAATAACTGTGGAGTTCGTAAATCTTGCATCTATTTAAACAGGGAGGTGGAAATTCCTCCTCCTCATTCTTCTTTGAAGACCAATTCAACTTTTTATAGGACGCTATATGGTATACCGGTAAATTTAAATCACTTTAAAGAAATGTTTATCGTCATAAAATGGCATGTCTGGTACCAAACAGTTATTTAGCGATAATACAAAGGCCTTCCTATACCACTGTATAAGATGAGATGACTTTTAAGGTCACATCCAGAATACTTCTATGTCTGACATCAGATCCTTGCATGTTTCAAAATATGTACGATTAGATGGTAAAAAATGCATTTTTGAAAGAATTCGGGCAAGCAAACTGTTAAAAAGTTAATATGGAGGCCTCATCATCTTGCCTGGATTTCATAGTAGCAGCCAAGCGAATATTTACTACGAATCGGTTTGATCTGGTATTTTTAGAATTGCAGTATAAAATCTTGAGTACTACAGTCCGCCACGTACGAATTTATGCTCTATTGCCCCCAAATCCTGCATTTTTGCTATAACTTGAAAATTTTCATCCTTTACATCTAGTACTTTGAAAGTTAAAATGGTATATGTTCAATACCATTAAATGAAACAATTTTCAATTATCTTTCCAACCATGCCAATAAAGTCATTTTATGATAATAATAAACATTTTCTTGAATTGGTTTAAACATTTACCATTCAAAGACTGAAAAGTGGGAATAATAGAACCTTCTAAGGGGAATGAGGCATCCAAATGGTTCTCAGAGATTATTAGAACACACTTTCAGTTGATTTTTTGTTTTTGTGTTGTTTATATTTTACACCACAGTTGGATCTTATCAAAATCTTAAAAAAACTCTGTGTGAAACTAACCTGATTTGTCCCCCTTAATTCGGCATTGAAAAGATGCACCAGTCAGACTTCTAAGATAATAGGTAATAATTAAAGAAATAGCATTTATTGATGTACAAATTAAAGATCTAAGTTTAATTAGACCAAAATGAATACCTGTGTTTAAGGATCTTGCAAATTAGAATGTGATTATCATTACTAAACAGGAAATTGAGCTGTGAGTATTTCGCTTCGAAGTTCCAGCCACATTATTTACTGGATTCCCTGAAAAAAACATTAGTGTATCGCCAACTAGTATTTGCTTTCTTATATTCTCAAGTGATGTTGTGCGCGCAGGGAGCGCTTGGTACGTGTTGATGAGAATAGAATGGCTAGCGGTTGTGAGGAAATCGAGAAACTTAAACAACATAAAAGAAGTGGGCAGAGGATACTGCCAGAATTCGGTTAGGTTTTGATATTCATGGTAAATGGCTAATTTTACTGCGGTTCAAGAAAATTACAGGCTGAAAATGGATCCCCCCTTAGCATGGCTAGTTTCTGCAAGAGCCAAGTCATGTAACAAACACAGTTTTTACACTTTGCATATTTTCTTACGATTAAAATGTTTTGAGAGGTAATTGAAGCCCACTTTTGATAGATAATTTAGTTTGAATATGTTCTTATTCCAAATATATAATCAAACTTTGTACATGGGAAGACATCTATTCAGATAATATACCAAATTCTTTGATATATTTCAGAGGAAAATTTGTGAATGGAATACCTTTCATTATGTTTCATTTTCAGTTATTGTTCAATTTTATTTTATTGTTAAATAAATTATGATTCAGATGCAATCATGTATTTGATTCATTTTCTTCAAAATAATAATATTATACTGCTAGATCTAGTTAAGAGTGTAGTTTGAAATCCTGTTAAATAAATTATGATTCAGATGCAATCATGTATTTGATTCATTTACATCAAAATAATAATATTATACTGCTAGATCTAGTTAAGAGTGTAGTTTGAAATCCTGCTTGGAATATATAGAGAATCTCCTACCAGTCTTTTTTAATATCAAAAAAGACGAGTAGGAGATTTTATTTATCACCCAATCCCATTTTACATGCACAAATAGATCAATATAATTCTTTGCTGTAGATTTCACTTTTACTGAACATTACGGCGTAGTGATACATCATTTTTTGACAGCAATTCAACCATTGCAAAGTCATTTATATTGACCCAGTGTTTCCATCAAGGTCAATTGAATAACAATAGTTCATTTTTAATAAAAAAAAAATTACTTTTAATAAGAAATGAACTGTTTTTTTGAAAATAAAAAAAAAAGTAGTTCCTTTTCAACTGACCAATGAAATATATATCACACAAGCGATATCTACTGTAGAATGTATTATTGGGTGATAAACAAACATCAATCCATAAAGGTCTTACCTTATCAAAGAGAAAAAAAGGTATTGAAATAAAGAATTTAAGAAAAACAAACTTTGTATGTGACTAATGTAGTATCTAAATTCATTTAAGTATATTTCTTTTTATGTTTCATTTATTTACTACTACATATATAGTAGATTAAAAACATGCCTCCTATTTTGGCCATTGCCATATACCATGTATAAAGATGCAATTTTTGTTATCAATAAAACAGATGTATCCTAAAAAGAACATCTAAATTCTCTGGCTTTGTCTATAATCTCTGGTTTTTGTCCATAGGCCTGCAGCCAAAATTCTAGCGTGAAGTTCCACTTAAAGGTTATCCCAAATAAACAAACTATACATTTTTGGAAAGCTTATAACACCAGGAACACAAATCTAGAGAGTTCCAAAGAAAAGGTTTGCACTAACTCGATTTAGGGCCAGATGAAAATTCTGATAATTGTCAAGTAAGTGCCATGTTTATACTAACAGTTGTGAAGTTGACATAAAATTAAATATTGGCGAAAACACTCATGCCTTCATCCTATGCAAAGAGTAAGCTATTGGTTAAATATTGAGTTAAAGCAAAATGCAGAAAACATAATGGACGGGAACATACAGAATTTCGGAAATCCAATTATGGTAAAAGGAGTTATCTCCCTTTATGAAAAATATCAATAATTGATAACCTTATCATGTGTTTATGTTGTGAAAGATTCAACAACATCAATATTTTCAAAATAACGAGTTTAATTATGAGTTTATACCAGAAGAAAAACGTATTTACCAGGCCCTCATTTCACGGGTTAAAAAAGTATGGAAACGTTTTTGGGTCATTTTCATTTCCCGTTTTTTGAGTTTTTTTGCGTAAAAAAAACTATGTAGCGTCCCAAAGACGATAAATTAAAAGCTTTTATCCTTAAATACCCTTTTGTTTACCGTTTTGTTTATATTTTTATTCATTATTTTGATAATATAACCAAATAAGAGATCTTATTTCACAATTCACTTAAAATTCGTTTCTTGTCTTTTTCAGTTGAGCCATCATGGATGTTTGTGTCATCTGCAATACACCACTTACAAATGGGCAGAAGACGGTTGTACTACGAGAGAAGGGAAGTTGTGGAATATATAGTCCCAGTATCTTGAGAAAGGACAGTATTTCTACCAAACCAGGACAGTCTGTTCATCTTGATTGCCGTCAGCAATATTGTAACAAAAATGTCATTGTTAAAGATCTGAAGAAAGAATGCAAGTTAAATGACTCATCAATCTGTCATCCAACACTTCGCTCAGAACAACCAGTGTTTCAGTTCAGGGAACATTGCCTTTTTTGTGCAAATTCTGCGAAAATAAGTGGGAAGAAGAGAGGGCATGATGTTTTCCCGGTTAGAACCAGTGATTTTCAGAGAACGGTTCGTCAACTCTGCATTGATCGTGGTGATGAATGGTCGCAGAAGGTGCTGTCCAGGATTGACTTTGCACAAGATTTACATGCAGCAGACGCAGTATACCATCAAGTATGCAACATCAACTTCCATACAGGTAAACAGATCCCACTTTCATTTCAATCTGACACACACGAACCGTCACCTGGAAGACCAAAAAATAATCTGCAGGAAAGCACCTTTCTGAAAGTGATGGACTATCTATCAGAAAATGACAATGAGCAGAATACAGTCAGTGATCTTGTTCAGAAAATGGAGGAGTTTGGATGCAGTGATCTTTACAGCGTTAAGTACATGAGAAAGAAAATTGAAGAACATTTTGGAAGTGATGTCATTATTACCAACATCAATGGAAGATCAAGTGTTGTTACATTCAAGAAGACTGCTTCAGCTGTTCTTGCCGAGTTTTATGATTCTCCTAAACTGAGTGACAGTGAAGATGAGAAATTAAGAATGGTGAGAACTGTTGCAAACCTGATAAAGAATGATGTCAAATCCTTAGATACATCGAAACAGATATACCCAAACTCACAGGACATTTCATCTATTGATAACAACATATCAATGCTTCCTGATTCGCTGTACCTTCTGCTAAAATCATTGTTTTCAGAAAAAAAAGCAGACACCAAGATAGCCTCAATTGGACAGGCCATTATTCAAGCAACGCGCCCAAGGGTTATTCTTGCTCCTCTCCAGATAGGTTTAGCAGTACAGATGCATCAACAGTTTGCTTCTAAGTTCCTCATCGATACCCTGCACAGTCAAGGGTTTTGTGCATCATATTCAGAGGTGAAGAGGTTTGAGGTGTGTGCTGCAAAGACACAGGGCACTGACATACCAGGTCTTCAAGCAGGCCATTTCATTCAGTACATTGCTGATAATGCTGACCACAACACCAACACCCTTGATGGATACAACACATTTCATGGCATGGGGATCTTCGCTGCCATCACTCCAGGAATAAGAAACAAACTTCAAATTCCAAGAAGCTTTGCATCAAATGAAGAAATTGCAGAAATAGGGAAAATAGACATAAAATTCTTCAAATCACTCCCGCTTGCAAGCCTGCCCTTGACATACTATGAACTTGGTGACCTCAGCTGTATTGACTCAACATGGAAGATGGATCTTCTGTGGAAAATTGTGTGGCCTTTACGTTCACCTAGGCCTGGCTGGACAGGATTGATGCAAACAGTAGCGAAGGGGCCATACCCAGGAAAATCATCCATCTCATACATGCCAATGATTGACATGAGTGCTACCGACATGAGCTGTGTTTATTCCACTCTTCACTTCGTTTGTGCACAGGCTAAGGCTCAAAATGTGACACCCATCTTAACATTTGATCAATCATGGTGGTGGAAAGCTCAAATCATCATCCAGAATGAACCACTGACCAGTGAACTCAAGAATATTGTTCTGCGTCTTGGAGGTTTCCACACAGAAATGAGCTACCTCGGATGTATTGGACATATCATGAGAGGTTCAGGTTTACAGGAACTGATGGAAGTCGTGTATGCACCAAACACGGTTATGCACATGCTCAGTGGAAAGGCGCTGTCAAGGGCAGTAAGAGGACACTTCCTGATCAATGCTGCACTAAATGCCCTATTAGTACAAAAGGCTTTCTCCGTTCCTCAAACAGTTGCCAAACAGGACCTTACATCAGAGACTGATACTGAACAGATATGTCAATCTGAAGAAAGTACTACAATCGAATCAGACCTTCAACGTCCATCATATGATCCCGAGGAAAATCACATTGAGAGCTTGGACTGTGATTTGGAAAAGAGTCTCAACCTTTTTGACCAACTACTGCATGGTGAAGTGTCTTGTGATGCTGTGTGCCAGGATGAAGCCATCAACAGTGTACAGAGGAAACTTCAAATAGTGACGGCGTCTGTAGCTCCTTCTCGGACAGCAACTTTGTGGATACAGTATATTGAGATGGTGGATTTGCTACGCATGTTCATCAAAGCAGAAAGAACAGGACACTGGCTTCTTTATCTCTGTACTCTTAAAAGAATGCTGCCATTCTTCGCTGCCACAGGACACAACTTGTATGCTAAATCTGTACACATCTATTTACAAGAAATGATGCACCTTGAGGAAAGGCACCCAGAGGTATATGCTATGTTTACATCTGGCTTCCATGTCATTCGACGCAGTGACAGATATTGGGCTGGTTTGTCATCAGACCTAGTCATAGAGCAAACACTGATGAGAAACATGAAAACCAGTGGTGGACTGACAAGAGGGCGGGGAATGTCTGATTCACAGCGAACACAGTGGTTACTTTCGATGCCAGCTTGTGCTGACATCAGCGATGCAATGCAGGAGTTCACTGATACAGACTACATTACCAACGAACAACACAAAGACATGACAGTTGCCAGACAGAAACGTGATGACAAAGACACATACAAACTCTTGGCTTTAACACTGTAAATGCTGACAGAGGACTGGAAGTTGGAAACCATATCCTACAGTCAATGGTGGGTAAACAAGTCTTTGAGTATTCCTTCAAGAAGAAAGAGCAGGTCATTACAATGGATATCAAGTCTTCAGCGAAGGTTGATGGTGATGCAATCAATGTGGATTCCCAGTTACTTTTCCAGCGATTAGTGACAGCAGCACAGAGGAATGCAGAGGACATTTCTGAAATCTTCAAGTATGAACTCAGTACTCTTCCTTCTTGTCTTTTTGAGCCATCTGGACTTATGAGAGCAGCAAACAAACCTGCCTTGGCTGAGGCATTATGGATATCAGGAAAGGGAAGTGAAATGTCAGTATCACAAGAGCATAATATGGTTCATGTCCTGGATGGTGGATCTCTCCTTCAGAAAATCCCGTGGCCAAGAAATGTCACATTTGCCACAATCTTTAACATGTACGTTGACCATGTATCACGGAAATACCCAAACCCAGTCATAGTTTTTGATGGATATGACACAGGCCCATGAACAAAAGATGTTGCTCACATGAGACGCTCAAGAGGTATGGTGGCTCCAGAGGTAATCTTTGTTGAAGACATGCCACTTGCAACACGGAAGGGTCATTTCCTGGCCAATTCCTCAAACAAGCAGAGATTCATCAACATGCTCAGCAAGAAACTTGAAGAAAAAGGTTGTAAGACCATTCACGCCAGAGGTGATGCCGACCTTCTCATTGTGCAGACTGCAGTGGAGAGTGCATCTAGCAGCCCAACCACAGTCATAGGTGAGGACACAGATCTCCTTGTTCTGTTGTGTTTTCATGCTGAACCAACATCTCCTGGACTCTACTTCATGTCAGAGGGAAAACAGATGGGGAAGAAACAGAGGGTGTGGAACATAACTGAACTGAAGGTGAACTTAGGCAGTGACATTTGTTACTACTTGCCCCTGGTGCATGCAGCTGGAGGATGTGACACCACATCACGCCTATTCGGGATAGGAAAGGGGGTTGTCCTGAAGAAACTCCTGAAGGACAGCTATTTCAGGGAACAAGTTCATCAGTTCTGTACCGACCAAACAACAGAAAACATCATGTCAGCTGGAGAAGCAAGCATTGTCTGCCTGTACAATGGACTACCGGGAGAAAGTCTAGATAGTCTGCGGTATCGGCGCGTCTCTGATAAAGTTGCAACTAGCTCTTCCTATGTCCAGGTTCACACACTGCCTCCCACATCAGCAGCAGCACGCTACCACAGTGCTCGTGTTTATCTCCAGGTCAGGGAATGGATGGGAGATGGTGGCTCCCTGGACCCCGAAGACTGGGGGTGGATGAAAGTGGCGGACAAACTTGAACCACGCACAACAGATAAACCTCCAGC